GAAGTTGATGGAGGTTAGCTCAAAATCACGGAGCTGCTTGAAAGATTGAGTGATTGGACATTTTGCTAACGAATATCATACCATTTCTCTTGGTGAGGTCTTATTGTGGGGTTATGGTAGGTAGAAGGTTGGGGTCGTGGTTATAAGGTGGTTCGGCGGGGTTTCTTGTTGGGGTCTCACTGTAGAGTATAGATAGATGAAAGGGGTTCAGCAAAACAAATCTGTAAATTGTAAGAATTTATTTGACTTGCTGACCAGGAAAGTGTAACGTTTCATATCGTTTGGCTCAAGTGTCTAGCAATAACGAGCTCAAAGATAATCCTTAATCTAGTACTTAGGCTGAAATAGGAGTTTTTTTTTTCTTTTAGGAGCATAATGTTCGTGATTAGCAATAACAAAGAACCTCTACGTGAATATTCGGAAAGAATCCGACTTCTATCAAAACATGCCACATTCTAGATACCATTTTCATTAGGGATTGTGAAACAGTACTAATATTCTGCAGATAGTGATGCAAATATTATTAGTTTCCTTCTGTTTCCATGGCACGTAATTTGCGCTTTCTGGTAAATTCTATTAGCAGCTCAACTACCTAAAGCCCATTTAAAAAAAAATTAAAGCATATAATCGGGATCGCACTATTGGCTGAGTTTCAAACCTTCGCTGCATCGTCTCGAAGGAACGGTTGTTCAAAAATGTCACCAGTTCCAGATTTCTCCTCGTGATCACCACTGAAGCACAACAGAAACTCTCCGAGCGCTCGCGGCAAATTTACTAATCCTCTGCGTTCTCCCATAACGTTACAGTGCCTTTCAAACTTTATTAACGATATAGAGGTGATTATTTTTATAACTCGTGGAAAAGCCCTTTACTTAGAACGTATGGTCTACCTACATAGCCTACTAAGAAACCCTCTAATTCAAGTTTTCATTTTTCGGAAATTTGTGTTTTGAAGATACATCAACAGGATAAAGAGTTTATACTCTACTGCACCAGCACAATAATAACAAGCATCTTTTGACTCAAAATTAAGTGGGTGCCAAATAAGCAATTGATCGAACAGGATATAGGGGGAGATGAATTAGACTACTTACGAAATCCAAACGATTTAGCGTGAGCTCTCGCAGTTTGGGATAGGGGATTGTACCGCTGAATGTGGTTTTAAGTACCCCGTTTTCTCCAAATAAACCGCACTCTGAAACTATCGGGACGACCTACGCCCGGTTCGGTACGATCAACCTTTGACGTGGTAGGATCAGCTCTCGCTGCAAGCGCTGCACTCAGGCGCAGCGCGACCCGAATGGATGGCACACCTGAACGTATCTCCATGCTTCATCCTTATCACGCTTCTAAGCGCAATAAGAATCGGTCGATTGAGGGTGCGCGCGGCGGCTGCACTGTGGCCCTCCTGTTGAGTGGCGATTTGGCGTAATTTCGCCCTATCCAAGATTTTTCGCGCTTTGTCTTCGGATTTTGACTTGCTTTTCTTCTCCAAGTTGTGTTAAAGTTTCAGAAGACGGCAACGAGTTGCCGGAAAGATGAGTACCGAACTCCGGCAAGATGGTATTTGACTGCAGCGCGCAACACAACGGCGGCGCACCCTCGATCGGCCGGTTCTTGCTGCGCTATGGTCTCTAA